AAAAAAAAAAAAAAAAAAAATGTTTAACACTTTGAAAAGTTAACCTACAAACATTTTCTTTTCTTTTCCTTCTTGAGACGGGTTTGCTCTGTTGCCCAGGTTGGAGTGCAGCAGTACAATCTTGGCTCACTGCAACCTCTGCCTCCCAGGTTCAAGCGATTCTCCTGCCTCAGCCTCCCAAGTAGCCAGCATTACAGGTGCCTGCCACTACACCCAGCTACTTTTTCTATTTTTAGTAGAGATGTGGTTTTACCATGTTGGCCGTGCTGGTCTCCTGACCTTTGTGATCCACCTGCCTGGGTCTTTGAAAGTGCTGGCATTACAGGTGTGAGCCACCATGCCCGGTCCGTACAAACATTTTCTAAAACATTTGCACTGGGGACAGTGCTGTGGCTTTTAGCAGTTTGGGAGATCAAGAAGGGAGGATTGTTTGAGGCCAGGAGTTTGAGACCAGCCTCCTCAACACAGCAAGACTTCATCTCTGCAAAAAATTAAAAACAAACATTTGTTTTGAATTACAGCAAGAAGATGTCTTATATGTGTACATTTAACACTGTATATTTATCTTGAATTAGTGCTAACCAGAAGGACATCTTTATTGATGAATTCTGAAAATAATTTTAACCATAAAACAAACATTGGTGGCATTTTCCCCTTTTTCTCGTTCCTTCTTTTTTGTTTGTTTGAAAGGAAGTCTTGCTCTGTCACCAGGCAGGAGTGCAGTGCAGTGGCACAGTCTCGACTGACTGCAACCTCTGCCTCCCAGATTCAACCAATTCCCCTGACTCAGCCTCTTGAGTAGCTGGAACTATAGGCGCACACCACCGTGCTCGGTTAGTTTTTTGGATTTTAGTAGAAACAGGGTTTCACCGTGTTGGTCAGGATGGTTTCCATCTCCTGACCTCGGGATCCACCCACCTTGGCCTCCCAAAGTGCTGAGATTACAGGTGTGAGCCACCACGCCCAGCCTTATTTCTTCTTAAATTTAAATGTAGTCTCTCCCTCCCCTCCCACCTCTTTCCATCTCCTCTCTAGATTGCTGAGTCCTTCCCACTAATGTGATTTTAGAACAATATATTATTAATTTCATAATATAGAAATAACTGGTAGAAT